CACCACCCACGCTGTAGATGGACAGAGAAACCAACAGAGCGCAGTGGGAAGGGGAAGGGGGGAGAGGCTGCGAAGGGCGAGCGAGGGGGGGTGGAAGGGGGTGGGCCGTGCTGTGCCACCTGCCTCGTGCGGACCTCTATTCTGCTCCGGAGTGACTCGCCACCGCCATCCCTGGGCCCACTGGGCAGTCGTGTGAGGGGCCGCCCCCTAGTCTTGCGAGGGGTGGATGCTAACCTCGCGCGGGTAGGAGGTGCTCTGCGAACTGCCTTGCGCGAGGGGAGTGTGGTATCTCTCGCGAGTCTTGGAATAGTCTTCCCTGACCCCGCCCGCCTGCCCGCCTGCCCTGCCCGCCTGGCTGATAAGAGCTTTTCACCTTGACTTGGTGGAGTACAGGCGCGGGAGAGAGAGAGAGAGAGAGAGAGAGAGAGAGAGTATGGGCGTGTCCACGTGGAGCCAGGTGTGGTGTGGGCGCGAGAATAGCTCCGCCGTTCATGGAGGCAACCGATGCGAGTCGACTGGTGTGTGTCGTCGTGGTTTCGTATCAAGAATTCTCTCTCTCTACAGGCGCGGGGTGCGTGTGGCTGAGACTCGGCTCGTGAGCCCCGCGTAGACTCTCGCCTGCTAGCCTCGAAGGGGCTGCCGTCCACCCGTCGCTGCTCAGGCCGGGGGAGGGGGGGAGACCTCCTGTTCCTCGCGGAACGGGAGTAGGCCCCTCCTTGCCATCCTCAAAGTATTTTTGACAGGATACCGCGTCCACCCATACCGCGTTGGTGTCCAGTCCGAGCCTGACTGTGTTCATCTTTCTACATACATGATTGGTGTTCATCTTTTTTTGACATCGGCGTCCCGTTGTCTAACGGGCATTATCTTTGGAGGTCGCGAGCCCCGGGAGAGCGCCGCCCCGCTATCGCTCAACAACAGCCCACGCCCACGCGACGCAGCGCGAGATGAGAGCTGCCCGCGCGCGTGCCCGGCCGCCACGCCCCACAATCACCTCTGCACGCCGTGCTGCGACCGCCGCGAGCGGCTCATCCGAGGTCGAGTTGGCACAATCGGATTGCCGGTCCGGAGCGCTGCTGAGCGCGCGGCCGCGGGTCGCCTCCATGCCTACTGCGCTCCCGCGACCCCCAAAACGAGCCCGCGCCATGCTCATCCCATTTTATGCAGCTGACGCTCAGCCGCCGCCGCCTGCGCCCTCGCAGATCCAAAACAACGTGGGCGAGACGGGCGTGCCGCGGTGTCCTTGGTGCTGGGCCTCAAGCCGCGTGCGCTGCGAGTAGGTGCGGCCCTCTTGAGCCCCCCTTCCTCTGGACCCCTCCCCCTCAAAGACGCTCTCGGAGAGAAGAGCACTGGTGGCCCGAGCACGATCAGAGCAGGAGATTGGCCGAGATTAGCCGAGATTGAGCCGAGATTTCGTCAATTGCTAGTTGACGGAACTTTGGCGAAATTCGAGGATATGCTCTGGGCATCAAATTGCACAAATGTCTGATTTGCCGAGATCACCCGAGATTTCGTCAATTAGCATAATTAATTGCCCGAGATTACCCGAGATCGCTTCCGAGACCGGTATGGCACTTCCGCACCTCTTTGTGGCACAACCTTTGCACCACCCGAGATTGCCCTCTATCGCTCGTCCTGATGCACCACCCGAGATTGCCCGAGATTATCATCAAGTTCCGTCAATTAATTTTAATTGACGAAATTTGACCTAAATTGGAGCACCCTCCTCCCCCCCCCTCCCCCGCCCGTGAATATCACACACCCGCCATCCACCGCCCCCTATCACAGGTACGAGTGAACTCGATCAACAACATGTCAGAGAACAAGACGGAAGTGAAGGCCCGCATCATGCCGGCAGAAGACGGCAGCATCAAGGTTGTCTTCTTCTCCGCGCCGACGTCGCCTCCGCTCCTCGGAGCAAAGGCGGTGCGTGTGCGCGTGTCGCAGATCTCCACTCTCCTCCCAACACGCTCCCCATTCTCGCTCGCCGACAGGCGAGCGGCGCCAAGAACGCACCCGTTGAGGACGTCACTGTGGCCGAGTCCGGCGCAGAGGCGCCCCTCGACGAGAGCATCCTCAAGCAAGACCCGGCCGCCGAAGAGGCGACCGCCGCGGAGACGGTCGACTCGGACCGGGCCAAGGCCACGTTTGCCGCCCACAAGCCGCGCGCGAACGCCGTTTTCTGGTCCAAGTTTGAGCGCCCGACCGAGGAGGCCGCCCCCGAGGAGGCCGTCGTCGCCGAGGCGCCCGCCACCGAGGAGGCGACCATCAAGTCCGCCGCCGCCGAGGTGTCCGCCGCCGCGGAGGCAGTCGCCGAGGAGGCCGAGGAGGTCGAGGAGGCTGCCAAGGAGGTCGAGAAGCCGGCACCGGCCAAGACCGTTTCCAACCCGCCCGACCCAGCGGTGCCCGACAAGCGGCACATTGAGGTGGAGGATGACGAGTGGAAGTCGCGGAGGAAGAAAAACCGCCGCAAGCAGATCAAGCGGATTTTGGCGGGGCTTGTGGCCATGGCGAGAGAGTCCGAGGCCTGCGCCTCCCTCATTCTGGCGTGGTCGTCGCCGCCTTCGCGCCTCATCATAGCCGAGGTTCGCGTTTGCACGCCAGGATCGTCATCGTCCCTCCGGTCTCTCCGAACACGTGCGCATTCTCCCTCACCCAGGCGCTCGGCATCAAGAACGACGTCGTTGTGAAGGAGGAGGCCGCCGCCGAGGAGGCCGCCTCCGAGGAGGCCGTCGTCGCCGAGGAGTCCGCCACCGAGGAGGCGACCATCAAGTCCGCCGCCGCCGAGGTGTCCGCCGCCGCGGAGGCAGTCGCCGAGGAGGCGCCCGTCGCCGAGGAGGCCGTCGCCGAGGAGGCTGCCAAGGTGGTCGAGAAGCCGGCCAAGACCGTTTCCAACACGCCCGACCCAACGGTGAGCGCGCCGCAGCGTTCTCTCCTGGCACTCCTAGCTTTCCACCCACCCGTATTAATCTCTCTCCCGTGTACCCCGCAGGAGTGGGCCGACCGGTCAATGGTCGTGGAGGACAGCTTCTACGCCTCCAAGCCGGTGTTTCTGACCCGCGTCGAGATCGGGTTGGCGGAGCCGCGCGCTGCGAAGATCATGCAGCGCGTCTCGCGCGGGCTGCTGGCGCGCAAGAAGGTGGCCGTGAAGGAGGAGGCCGCCACCGAGGAGGCCGCCACCGAGGAGGCTGCCACCGAGGAGGCCGCCGCCAAGTCCGCCGCCGCCGAGGAGACCGCCGCCGAGGAGTGCGCCGCCGAGGAGTCCGCCACCAAGTCCGCCGCCACCGAGGAGGACCCCGCCGCCGAGGAGGCCGCCTCCGAGGAGGCCGTCGTCGCCGAGGAGTCCTCCACCAAGTCCGTCGCCACCGAGGAGGCCGCCGTCGCCGAGGAGGCCGCCTTCGAGCAGGAGCCCGCCGTCGCCGAGGAGTCCGCCACCGCCGAGGAGGCGACCATCAAGCCCGCCGCCGCCGAGGTGTCCGCCTCCCAGGAGGCGCCCGTCGCCGAGGCGCCCGTCGCCGAGGAGGCCGTCGCCGAGGAGGCTGCCAAGGAGGTCGAGAAGCCGGCCAAGACCGTTTCCAACACGCCCGACCCAGCGGTGAGCGCGCCGCAGCATTCTCTCCTGGCACTCCTCGCTCTCCCACCGGTAACAATCTCCCTTCCCGTGTGCCCCTATCGCGCTTGCAGGACACCACCTGCTATCCGGGCCTGCCCACGCCGATGGCGGCGGGGAAGAGCGGGCCCGCGTCGGCCCGCAGCGGCTCCGGACCGGGCTACGTGGACGGCGTCGAGGCTGCAGTCCGCCGGCTGGGCGAGAGCGTCGTCTACCAGGCTACGCCCGCCGACGGCAAGAAGTCGCCGTCGCCGGGAGTCCCCAGCACCTCCGGCGGCATTGCGCCCGTGGCGCCCAAGCCCCTTGGCGCGGTCGCGGGCGCGGGGCTGGCTGAGGCCGAGGCCGCCAAGGAGCGCGAGCACTGGGAGGGGCGGCTCAAGAAGGCGAAGGCCGCGCTCGATCTCATTGCCGAGCAACGGAAGAAGTGGGCGGACTTGCAGTCGCGGCGCTCGAGGAAGTGCCGGCGCAAGGCAAGGCGCTGCCCGCGCAAACCGAAGACTGGCAAGAGCCGCGGCCGCGGCCGCGGCCGCCGCCCGAACTGGCGCCGCGAGCCGCAGACCACGTCCGGCAAGGCGCCATTCGCCGCTGGCACGTGCGGCGCCGGCGCTGGCACATGCGGCGCCGGCGGTGGCACGTGCGGCGCCGGCGGTCGCGCCGCCCTCAAGGCGGCGGCCGAATGCGTGCGGGGCGGCTACACGAAGGCCGAGGGCGCCTTCCGGTGGCTGCTCCTCGTCTGCATGCCCGCCTTCGGCCACTGCGCGTCCGCCGTGCCTAGCCCGACGGCGGTGGCCTCGGCCTTCTCGTCTGCCGTCGCCTTGGCAGCCTCCGTCGCTTCGGAGGCGTCCTCTACCTTCTCATCCGGCGTCGCCTCGGCCGCGTCCTCGGCCTTCTCGCCCGCCGTCGCCTCGAAGGCGTCCTCGCTCGTGAGCTGCTCGCCGCTTCTCATGCCCGCCCTCGTGCTCATCCTCTTCGCCATCGCCTGCGGCGCCTCCTGGCCTACCGCAGCGGGCGGAAAGGGGGCTCGCGGCGCGGCGTGGGCCACCTGCCTCGCCGCCGCCACGGCGTGCCTCACCGGCGCGGCGGCGACGCCTGCCGGCTTCTTCGCGAGCGCCTTCTCGTGGCTCGCGGCGGGTCCGCCGCAGGTCGCCGCCACGGTCGCCGCCCTGGCCGTCATCGGCACGGTGATGCGGCGCCGCAACTCAAAGGTTTGCCGCTTCGGTTGGTCCAGCTTGCTCGGCGTCCTTCTCTGCTTGGCCACCGCCGCTGGCGGTTTGGTCCCCGTCGCTGGCGGCTCCGACCACAAGCTCCTCTACCCGCTGGCGGAGGCGCTGCGCGCCTCTGGCATCTGCCGCGGTGGCGGGACTTTGGGGCAGTCATGCCCGACCACCGAGATCGCGCAGGGCGAGACGCTGTTCCAGACCGGCGCGCGCGGCTTCGTGCGCGCCATCGTCGACGCCGCCGCCACTCCTGGCCAGCCCTCCCTCCGCGAGTGGTGGTGCTGCGCCTCTGCGGCGGTGCTGCTCCTCCAAGCGTGCGGCGCCTGCTGGCTGCTGCTGGGGCAGCGGGCGCCGCGCTCCGGTGCGGCCTCGGGGCAGCGAGCCAGCAAGGCGGTCCGTCCCCGGCTGAGCATGAGTCGCGACTTGGTGGGCTTCCTGCTGCTCCTCTCCGCCCTCCCCGTGGCTCGGGCTGGCTCGGGCGAGGCTGGCTCGGGCGAGGCTGGCTCGGGCGAGGCTGGCTCGGGCGAGGCTGGGTCTGGCGAGGCTGGCTCTGGTGAGCAGGGCTCCGGACTTTGGGGGGTGCCGCCGTCGCTGCCGCCTCCGTCTCCGCCCTCGTACCCGCTCGCATACTACACCATCACCACGACGCCGGGATCGTACCCTGGCGATGTGAGCTGGGACCTCCGTTGCGGTTCACCTCGTGAGGTGAACCTCTCGTCGGCGCCCTACACCGGCTTAGACGAGTGTGGGCTCTGCCCAGACTTCCAGACCGAGTACGGCGTCTCCCTCTCGCCCGGCGTCGAGTGTGACCTCGTCATGTACGACTCGTGGGGCGACGGCTGGACCGGCGCTAGCTGGTCGGGCCTTGGGCAGGAGCGCCTCGCCGTTGCCTCTGGGTCCGAGGAGAAGAAGTCTTTTGTTGTACCGTTTGCGCCGCCCTCCCCGCCGCCATTGGCGCCGCCGCCGCCGCCGTCGCCGCCGCAGCTGCCGCCACCGCCGCTGCCCCCGCTCGTCCCCGGCGAGGCTCTCGCCCACACGCCTCAAGACATCCGGGACGAGATCAACATGGCCGTGGACCAGGGACGCAACGCGAGCGTCTACGTCCCGCCGGGCGCCCGCCTTGCCTTTAGCAGCAACGTCGCGTGCAGCGGCGACATGCTCCTCTCGGTCCGGAGCAGCGGGGAGGGCGCGACGCTCGACGGCAAGAAGAGCTCCAATATGTTCTACATCTCGAGCGGCTGCAGCCTCTACCTGGAGGCGCTGCACTTTGTGGACGGGCGTAGTGGTAATGGCGGTGCGGTGTTCGCTTTTGGCGCTGGCGACATTGCGATCAAGGACGTGTCCTTCACGGGCTGCGAGGCCCAGGTGCGCCGCCCCTCTCTCCCACGCACCGCTCGGCCCCGCAAGCCCTCGCCACATTGGAATGCTGTGGATGCCCCCCCTCTCGCTCCCTGACGCCCTCCCCGCTCATGCCTATCCGCCCCAACTCGCGCAGCGCGGAGGAGGTATGTACGTGCAGAACAGTGGCGACGTCTCGCTGGAGGGGGCCAGCTTCAGCAAGTGCACGGCTGGCACTGTGCGTCTCCCACGCAAACACACGCTTGCCTCCCCCGCACACGCACGCTCGCACGCCATCGCCGCGGGAAGCGGGAGGCGAAGGCAGAGGGACAGGGGGTGGCAAACGGGGGACGCCTTTCCCAAAGTGCCGCTCAGGGTCTGCCCGCCCTCTCTCGCTCTCTGACGCCCTCCCCGCTCAATGCTTGCCCGCCCCAACTCGCGCAGTACGGAGGAGGTATGGACGTGCAGAACAGTGGCGACGTCTCGCTGGAGGGGGCCAGCTTCAGCGAGTGCACGGCTGGCAATGTGCGTCTCCCACGGCCCCACACGCTCGCCTCCCCCGCACACGCACGCTCGCACGCCATCGCCGCAGCCGGAGGCGGGAGGCGATGGCAGAGGGACAGGGGGTGGCAAACGGGGCACGCTATCCCCAAAGGGCCGCTCTGGGCTTGCCCGCCCTCTCTCGCTCTCTCGCCCTCCCCGCTTACGCCTTCCCGCCCCAACTCGCGCAGTACGGAGGAGGTATGTACGTGTGGAAAAGCGGCGACGTCTCGCTGGAAGGCGCCAGCATCAGCAAGTGCACGGCTGGCTATGTGCGTCTCCCACGGCCGCACACGCTCGCCTCCCCCGCACACGCGCGCTCGCACGCCATTGCGGCGCCGGAAGCGGGAGAGGAAGGCAGAGGGAGATGGGGTGGCAAACGGGGCATGCTATCCCCAAAGGGCCGCTCTGGGCTTTGCCCGCCCTCTCTCGCTCTCTCGCCCTCCCCGCTTACGCCTTCCCGCCCCAACTCGCGCAGAACGGAGGAGGTATGTTCGTGTCCTACAGCGGCGACGTCTCGCTGGAGCGCGCCAGCTTCAGCGAGTGCACGGCTGGCTATGTGCGTCTCCCACGCCCGCACACGCTTGCCTCCCCCGCACACGCACGCTCGCACGCCATTGCGGCGCCGGAAGCGGGAGAAGAAGGCAGAGGGACATGGTTCGGCAAACGGGGCACGCTATCCCCAAAGGGCCGCTCTGGGCCTGCCCGCCCTCTCTCGCTCGCTGACGCCCTCCCCGCTCATGCCTGCCCGCACCCAACTCGCGCAGCACGGAGGAGGTATGTACGTGTACGACGGCGGCGACGTCGCGCTGGAGGGCGCCAGCTTCAGCGAGTGCACGGCTGACAATGTGCGTCTCCCACACCCGCACACGCTCGCCTCCCCCGCACACGCACGCTCGCACGCCATCGCCGCGGGAGAAGAAGGCAGAGGGAGATGGGGTGGCAAACGGGGGACGTTATCCCCAAAGGGCCGCTCTGGGCTTTGCCCGCCCTCTCCCGCTCTCTGACGCCCTCCCCGCTTACGCCTTCCCGCCCCAACTCGCGCAGGCCGGAGGAGGTATGTACGTGCAGAACAGTGGCGACGTCGCGCTCGAGAGCGCCCGCTTTGTCGAGTGCACGAGTGGCGTTCAAGCGGTGCCGCGCGCCCCCTCCAAGAGGGTGCACAGACTGAAACGGGAGACCAGACATTGTTCTTTTGTAGGCTCTTAATCTCCTCGGTATCGAGCGCCTCGCTCTCACCAACTCGCAGTTTGTCGACAACATCGCGAGCCGAACCCCCGCTGCACTCTTCTTCACCTCCAGCGTCGCTACCTCCGGCTCGATCCTCCGCAACACGACCTTCTTCGGCAACTCTGCGCCAGGCAACATCACAATCCTCTCCGCCTCGCCTCTAACGTGGGACTGCCCGCTCGGATCTTGGATGCCGAACGTCGGCCAGATCATCGGCGACCTGTCCGGCTGCAACAGGCTCTGCGCCGAGGGTCACTACGGGTACGCGTCGGACCACTTCACCTCCGACTGCAGCGGCCCCTGCTGGTCCGGCCACTTCTGCCCGAAGGGATCCATCCTCCCACAGAAGTGCCCCGCCGGCACCCACATGCCCAACAGGCGGGCGGCGAACATTTCGGACTGCTTCCTCTGCGCGCCCGGCCAACACCAGCCAGAGAGCGGCCAGGAGGAGTGCTTGCCTTGCGCCGCGGGCTCCTTCTCCCCCGACGTGGGCAGCGCCGCCTGCGAAGCCTGCCCGAAGGGCGGCGTCTGCGAGGACGCGGGCGCCGCCTCGCGCCTTGTCTGGCAGCCTTGTCCCGCGGGAAGCTTCAACCCAAAGAGAGGCTCCAGCTCGAGCGCGGCGTGCGAGCTGTGCCCCATCGGCACGGCGAGCGCGGAGCCAGGGGCGGTGAGCGGCGAGACGTGCGAGCCTTGTGAGCCCGGCCATTTCGCCGCCACGCCCGGCCTCTCCAAGTGCGAGCGCTGTGAGCCCGGCACCACCTCTGGCGTCGGCAGCAGCGCCTGCAGCGAGTGTGCCGCAGGCACGTACGCCGCCAACCCCGGCCAGGGCCAGTGCGTCCCTTGCCCCTACCCCCTCGGTAGTGAGCGCGGCGCCGTCATCTGCTCGTTCTGCCAGAAGGACTTCTACCTGCTCCAGAGCGCCGACCCGGCCGAGATCTTCTCCTCCCCGACCGACTACTGCAAGCCTTGCCCGCCAAGCGCCGAGTGCTCGGACAACACCGCTCTCGCGACCATCGGCGTCCCAGTGGGCTACTGGCGCGCCAGCCCCTCCTCCGCCGTGCTGACGGAGTGCCGCGACTTCAGGGGCGACCGGGCCGGCGAGGCGCGGTGCGCCGGCAACGAGCGCGGAGCCAAAGAGGCGTCTCGCCTTTTGGAGGAGGCGGGCTCGGACGAGTACTGCGCCCCTGGTTTCACCGGCCCCGAGTGCCAGCTCTGCGCCGCGGAGAATCGCTACCTCGTTGACGGCGACGAGTGCAAGGAGTGCGCTCCGCGCGGCGCCGCTGCGGGTCGCATCGCCGGCATCGTCCTCGGCCTCTGCGTCGCGTGCGGCCTGGCGGCGTGGGCCTATAGCATGACGGCCTGGCGGAAGAAGACCTTCATCGGCCCTATCCTCCGCTTTGCAGACCGCTCCGTCAAGTACTACGTCGGGGGCGGAATGACGGCCAAGGTCAAGATCCTGTTTGGCTTCTACCAGATCAGCACCGTCTTGTCGTCCACCTACTCGGCGCGACTGCCGGACAAGTACACGGGCTGGACCGACAAGCTGGCCAACGTGGTCTCCATCGACTGGTCGGGCTTCTTCTTGCCGGAGCAGTGCCTCGGCTACGGCTTGCGACTCCTCGCCGTCGCTCTCTCGCCCGTCGTCCTCATCGCCCTGCTGATGGGAACGGGAATCGCCCTGCGGCTCTACTACTGGCGAACCGCGTCACCGCGCCCAAAGCTGTGGGCGGAGGCGGCCCTCGGCCTCCTCGACCTCACGCCCGCCGGCTTGGTGCTCATTTTCTGCTTCGTGCCCTCCATCAGCGCCTCCATCTTCCGCTCGTGGTCGTGTCAGGCGCCTCCAGCCGATGACTGCCGTTGCTCACGCCGCCCCTCAGGCAATGTGCTGCTGATAGGCCTACACCATCTCTCCGCCGAACGAGCCCCTGGAGCAGGTCTCCTACATGCGGCAGGACGCGAGCGTCGAGTGCGGCACCGACGATCACGAGTCGATCAAGAATCTCGCCATCGGCTTCATCGTCCTCTGGCCGGTCGGCTCGCTGGTCCTCTTCACGTCGCTCCTCGCCGCCTGCTACAAGCCGCTGCAGGCCAAGTCGCCGAACGCTCTGACGCGGGCCACCGCCTTCCTCCACCGGGAGTACGCGAAGACCTGGTACTGGTGGGAGACGGTCGAGCTGGCGCGCAAGCTCGTGCTCACGGGCTTCGTGCTGCTGATCCCCGAGAAAAACGCCTTTCTTCGCCTCGTGGTGGCGACCCTCGTCTGTTCGTGCTACGCCGTCGTGCTTGCCGTCGTGCGGCCGTACAAGCGGGTGGAGGACAACGTGCTAGCCGTCGCCACAAGCCTCGCGCTCCTCCTCCTCTTCCTCGGCACCAACTGGACCACCATCTTCCTCGGCATCGAGGAGCGGTACCAGGAAGCCGACCCCGCCGATGTCCTCGGCTTTGGCATGCTCAATGCGATCGTGGACACGATGATCGGCCTCGTCGTTTTTGCGCTCGTGGTCTTCTTAATCGGTGCCGTCGTCGCCGCCCGCCGCGTCGCCAAGGTCCCCACAGTCCGTCTCGTCTCGACCAAGCAGCCCCCCGAGCTGAACATCGGGACCGGCCTCACATGGCACCTGTTCCTCTCGCACATCTGGTGCGTCGCGCAGCTAGGGAGGGTGATCAAGCCAGGCCGCATCCAACTGCGCCCCCCTAACCATGCAGGTCGACCGGTCAAGACGCCGTCGGAAACATCAAGAGTGAGCTCCAGCTGCTGGTGCCGGGCCTCAAGATCTTTCTCGACGCGCGCACAGGCTCAGCCGCGCTGCTTTAGCTACACACAGCCCTTCCGACGCACCGCGGAGTGCGCACAGGTGGATGATCTGAAGGATATTGGTTCGCTGGAGGAGTACATCCAGCACTCGCAAATGATCCTCTTCTTCCTCTCGTGTGGCTACTTCCGCTCCCAGGCGCGCTCTCGCCGCCCTGTCCCGCGCTCGGGATCCTCTGGCTCTCAACGCACCCGAGTCTGCTGCGCCCCTCGACACTCCCCACGGCTCACCGCCCGCCTGCTTGCGTGCCACCAGAACTGCCTCCGCGAGATCCGCTCGTCGCTCGAGAAGGACAAGCCGATCGTCCTCGTCCAAGAGGCGGACCCTGCAAAGGGCGGCGCGACGCTGCAGGCGCTGCGCGGCGAGTGCCCCGAGGACCTGCAGCCCGACATCTTTGAAAAGGGCTGGGCGCACACCATCTACATGCGAATTGAGGAGTTCCAGCGCGTCTCGCTCAAGACCATCATCGAGGCGCAGCGGGACACAGAGCCAGCCGCACAGTCCTCTCGCCCCTCCCGAGACCTTTTCCCCGGCACCCTTGAACCACAGGCGGTGCTCCTCTGCTCGCCCAACTACCTGAACCAGACCTCCCTCCCGCTCTGCGTGCCGGGCGAGCCCGAGAGCCAGCCGCTCGCCTTTGCCAAGGAGACCATGCTCTGGGCCTCGCCGGCCAACGCGGGTGCACAGGTCTTGGCTGAAGAGATCGCCACCACTTTTGCCGGTCTCACGATCTCCACCGCCGATGCTCGGCCGGCCACCGTCACGCACATGCTCCTCTACCTCAACGAGGACAGCTTTGTCAGCGACGCGCGGCTGGCCGAGCAGGTCAAGCAGGCGCGCCAGGACAGGCTGAAGATCGTCATGGCGCACGAGAACGACCCGGACCTCGGCGGCTGCCTCTTCTCGAGGTTTTTCGAAGTCACCCCGCAGGAGCGGGCTGGGGTTGGGTCATTATGCTCTCAATCTCAGGCGCTTAATCTCCCCCCACCCGCGTACCCTCCCTTGCAGGAGCTCATCGCCGACGGACTCTACAAGGACCTCGCACGCTCGTGCTTCCCGGGGCCCCACCACCCAGTGCGCGCTTTGTCTCTCTCCACATCTCGCCTTGCGCACCGGCGGGACTCACCAGCCAGGGCGTTTCGTTCTGCAGGTGTCGCTCGCGCTTCTGGCAAAGGACCTCGGCGCGACTCCCGCTCGGTCGGGCAGCGTCGCAAGCATGAGCCGCCTCTCGGCCAGCATCGCCGAGCACGGCAGCCGGCTCGTCCGCAAGATCAGCCGCAGCAGCTCTGCGACGGCAACCATCGCGGGCGACGGCACTGGAGGCGAGGCGACGGTCTCGGTGGACTCGGTGGAGCCGGCGGCCTCGGCGGAGGCGGCGCAGGAGCATGTCTGACTTTGGCGGCCGCACTCACGGCAGACGCCACAGCACACAGACGCCATCTTGAGCAATTCACATGAGCATGAGCAGGGGCGCCAGCGACCCGCCGGGGAGGAGGGGTGGGAGGCGTTTGCCGCGTCGGCGATCCCCACGGGACGGGGTCCATATCCGCCGCACACTCTCGCAGTGATGGGGGCCTTCGCGCAGCGGTGTGCTGCGCGGCGCGCCTTCCTTCTCTGGAGCGGAGAGGCGTAGTTTGGGGGAAGGAGTTAGGGAGGGGGATGATGCACAGCGAGGCGCCGTGGCCGTAGTTGCCTGCGAGGCGTCTCTCTCGCGCGCGCCGGCCAGCTGGCGGGCGGCCAGCGCTGGGGTCCTAGATTGGGAAGGGTTGAGGCAGAGGGGAGACGAAGAGGGTGCTGCGTGCGCACACCGCGCGTCGTTGCATGTGTACTTGAGCGTGCCCCGCGGGAGGTCTCCACCTTTTTCTTCGAAAAAGAATTTCAAGAAAAGAAATTTCTGCGGTGGGTCCGTTGGCGTCCGCTACGTGTGAGGGGTTTTGACTCCTACAAGCTCCTGACGCTATTCTTGGCAGCTCTAATGACCAGGATCAGTAGTGCTATGATAGAGGGTGCCCATACTAGCGCAGGAGCTGCCACACTCGCCCGGACCGTCCCCTTCTGGGGCCGGTTCCGCAGCCCGCGAGAGCCGACAGCGGGGCCGTGCCGCGGGTGCCTACTGCCGAGTGCCACAAACACTGCGCCGTCCCGCCATCACCTACAGGCTGTCTTGTGTGATGGTTGGGATGTCCAAACGCCACCATCTTGGCTCTTGCGACCTCACACCCGCGAGCTGTATGGGTGGTCCTGACGTCGACAGACGCCCGATGACCACGGTGAAGCTGAGCCGGAACGCGTCGACAGGTCTCGTCTGAGCCCGTGGCGGTCGCCGGCTGAGTCGCTGTGCACGGACCGGTACCTCAGGCGTCACCTCCGCAGCCTCAGGTCTCACACTCCATCACCTCCGCCAGGACGCCGTCGGTGGCACGCTCGGCGGCGAGGCTATGCATAAACTTCCACCTCGATGTTGTCTATATTATTTTCATTATACTCTACCAGAGCCCTCTTTTGTTCCAAAGCATATTCCAGTATAATTTGGAATGTGATGATCGGCGGCACACACTTGACGAAGGAAGGCACGGGTGAGTACCGCGAGGAACGCGAAGAAGATGCAGGCCGCGGAGGCGATCGGTGGCGGCCGTGAAACTGAAAAGAAAAAATCAGTGCACTCGGAACAGCATGTCTCTGCTCGTCTTCCTGCTCCTCGCTCGGCCGGGCGGCGGCTCGGGTGGTGCGGAGGCGTCGCCGCTGCGCGTGCGCGCGCGCGGGGCGGTGCTGGAGCACGCCTGCTGTCGCCGCCACGGCGCGACGCCCGGGGCCGAACACAAGCTAGGTCGAGCAGACCTGTGGCGAGGCCACAGGGCATCTCAGATCCGAGCATCTCAACGCCGACCCGCTCTCCTGCGGCGAGCCGCGGAGGAGGGGCTTGTGCGATCCGGCCGAGGCGGCGGCGCGTGGCGCGCACACGCCCCGCTCGCCCGCGGCCGCTGTGGCATGGCTGGCGAGATCCAGCTTTGCCTTCCCGGCGAGGTTTGCGAAGCTGACCTCGCTGCTGTGCTTCCGACACGGCGTTCGGCTCGCGAGATGCGCGCGGCCGCGCGTGGTGCAGCCGGCTGCTGTGGCGAGCTCGACGCCCGACCCCGCGGCGCGCACGCGCCACGGAAGCCGGCCGTCGATCTGCGCCATGGGCGGGCTTTGCTGGCACGGCGTCTCGACCCCCATGATCAAATGCGGCGCGACTTGTCTTCGCAATCAAACGCGCTTCTAGAGTCCATTACTCGTTTCTTCTTTCTTGCAGGTTCTCGAGGTTCTCGAGGTGGATATCCTTTGGCCGCGTTGGGTAGCGAGGATTGGTGTAACCCGAGCCACGGAGGCGTGTTTTCTGGCGGCCGACCGTCAGTGCACGGAGTTGCCACTTCTCCGACTGCCCCGGCTAGTTCCCGAGGTCGTCGGGTGTGACCCCTTCGTCCCCCGAGACCTAGCGCGGGTGGGTTGGAGGGGGCTCGCCCCGTTCCTCCCCATCGGGCCGCGTGAGCGGCCACGCCTCGCAGATTCGTTTTCGCGCCTGGGTCAGGCGCGCGGGGCATCCCCCGGGTCGCTCGACCAGCGATCCGAAGAGTGGCCGCTATGCGAGGGAAAGAGCGGGGCCCTCGACGCCTCAGTCCGGCCCTCCGAGGGGGGAAGGGAAGTGCGGGGTCCCCACGGGCGCCTCAGTTCGGCCCTCCCGAGGGGGGGAGGGGAGCAAGGGGGTGGGGGGATCAGGGTGGTGGGGAGGGGTCTCGGTTTCATGTGGCTATTACTTGCCTTTCGGGGAGGGGCCTCGGTTACGGCGAGCGCAGTGGCGCGCGCCCTACGTCTTCCCCTCCTCCCTCGAGGCAGCGAGTAGGCAGCGAGAGGAGGTCTCGAGCGCCTATATGAAGGTATGTGAGAGGGTGATGGGAATGGGTGGTCGGTCGGGCGGGCGGGCGTGCGGGGGGGCGGGCGGGCAAGCAAGCGGGGAGCGGCGGGCCGGCGGGGCGGAGCGGGCGGGCAGGGTTATCGGGGGAATCGTGTCCACAATCAGCGGCAGCGGAGCAGCAGCCGCAGCAGCAGCTGCTGCAGCAGCAAGCAGCAGCCAGATTGCTGCCGTTGTCTGCGCCGCGATCCGCCGCCGCGCCGCCGCGCCGCCGCCGCCTGCGCTCGCCGCCGCCTCGTAGACGACTCCTCTCGCGCTCGGAGAGCCGCGCAGCGGGCCGCGAGGTTGTGGTCATAGGTGGCGATAGCTGCGGCGATGGCGGGGTACTTGGACGCACCTCCCTCGTCGAGGGCGAAGTCGGGGTTGTGGGCGACGAGGGTGCGCCAGTTCTTGAGGAGCGACATGGAGAAGTCGCTGTCGGCTCGCGTGAAGGCGGTGTCGATGTTGCACCCGCCCATCTCGGTCGGCAGCTGCGCCTGGAGCCACGCGAGGTCGCGGAGCGCCTGGGGCGAGGCGTCGTGTGTTAAGATGAGAATCTTCATACGAAGATACACCGCGGCCCAAACGAAGATGTGTATCTTGAAGATACACCGAAGAAATCACTATCAAACTATTAGCCTAATAACGTACCTAATTATTAGCATATACCTAATAACGCTGCTATGAAGCTATTATTAGCTTTTTTTCACGAAACTGATTGTGTAAATAAGCTAATTATTAGGCTAATAACGCGAAAGTCCTAATAACAAGCTAATTATTAGGTATATGCTAATAATTAGGTACGTTATTAGGCTAATAGTTTGATAGTGATGTTATAATGTTGTATCTTTGAAACGTATAGTCAAGTGTATCTTTGGCTATCACTCGAATCGGGGGGCGTGCCAGTCAGCAGTCTCCTTGTGGGGCGTGGCAAGGTAAGGTAAACTTCTCCACACACACGAGGTGGTGGGGCAAGGGGGGGCAACCCTCGCGTCTCCACGTCTGACGACAGGAGCCCCACGGCATTCAAAGTGCAAGGCCCAGTGCGCGTGGGTGAGCGGTGTGTGTGTGTGTGTGTGTGTGTGTGTGTGTGTGTGTGTGTGTGTGTGTGTGTGTGTGTGTGTGTGTGTGTGTGTGTGTGTGTGTGTGTGTGTGTGTGTGTGTGTGTGTCACGTCTCTGCATCCTCCGCCGGTTCCTCCCGTCGCCTCTTCTTTGTTCGAATGTTTTTCAATCCATCCTTCACGAAGCCCTCCCATGTAGCTAGCGTTCTTGGCGAATGTCTCGAAATGGCCAGCAGGCGCTGTCTGCTCGCGGTCTGTGCGGGCCGCTCGTCCTCCCCGCCCTTCTTTCGTCCTCCCGTCCCTCCCCTCCACCATGGCCTTCTCGGCACTTCTTTCTCCATCCGCCTCGCCCTGCCTTTTCGTATCGTGCCGTTCGCCCTCCATTCGGTGACCTCCATGGCTGTCCGCCCCCCTTTGGGTGGCGCTCTCGATACGGTTGCGTCAACCTCGACGTCGCTGTCGCCCTCCCCGTCCCCGCCGGCGTCCGTGCCTCGGTTCGCGTCATCGGTAGCGTCTCCGTTGTTCCCTCGTGCCCCGCCGTCGCCCTCTCTGCTCGGGCCGTTAGCGATTTCGCCCCTCCTGCGTGTCGCCCCTCCGTCCCCTCCCCTTTCTTCGTCGTCATCGTCGCTGTCGCGAAAGCCCTCCGGTCCCTCGATTCCCTAGGGGCGTGGCCGTGGCGCGTGGGCCGTGGGGGACCGCCGAGTCCGCCGACCCTCCGGGGGAGGCGTGTTTCCTTTCGTTGGACCATATCGCCCTCTATTACTTGTGCCGACACATGCGAGCCGTGTGTCTAACATCTCGATATTTCTCAACGAAACCAACGCCGTCATCAGAGTTCAGACTGTACGGGGTGTGGAGGGTGAGTTGACCAAGGGGTTGTGCGCCGGGCCCTCCTGCTCGGCTCCAGCCCCTGTTGATAGGTCCAGGTGATAGTCCTGGATGGGCAATGCACATACGCTTCACTGGGCCTTAGATGGCCCGACCGCGTCCCGGTGCTCTGCCGTCGGATTTGTGACTCCGCCGCACCGCGCCGCGGCCGGGGGCCCTCCGGAGGCCGAGGATGGCCGTGACGGACCGGGACGAGCTCTGGGAGGTTCAGTGTCAGTGTATATATTGTAGAGACCAACCATGTCCACAATATCTCTCAGTCTAGTACGGCTTTATAAGCCTGGGAAGGCGATGCCGGGGCCGTACAGCAGCTTGATGCATGCCACCGAAAGCGCTGTCGAGGTTCGCCGAGCGCGGCGCAGGTTGAAGGACACCGTCACCGACGAGCGCGTTGGAGTATTCACTCCGGACAAAGACGGCTACACGCACACGAGCTTCCGCGGCCGTGTACTTTAGCCGTCTTGGCGGCGAGGCGCGGGACGTCTGTGGCGAACGTGGGTCGCGTCCTTCGATTTCCGTCAACCCAGCATCCACACCCTTTAGCGGCACTCGCGCACACTTCTCAAGTTACGGCGTACAGATAGAAGACCAAACAAAGTGAACAACATAAACCCTGCCGCCAATGCGCGTCGAGATAGGTGACACGGACGCGCCACGCTCTTGGCGACGAGTTTGGCGAGCCAGCGGCGCGCCGGCGACGCGGCGGCGCGCAGCGGCGGCGCGAGACAGCGCGCGGCGTCACTTTTTCCACTGGTTGCCGTTGTCGAGCTCGCCGCCGAGCTTCTTGGGCAGGCTGCTCGGCGCGACGAACGAGTGGAGCTCGCCCGCATAGTCCTTGCCGAGCAGCATGGTCTTGTCGCGCGACCGCTTCGGCACGAGCGCGGCGACGATCGGGCCTGGTGAGGTCGAGCCGAGATGTGGCGGAGATATAGAGCCGGGATCAGCCGGGGTCAGCGCCGCAGCGGAGCGCCTCCTCTCGGCAGAGAGACAGGGAGGATCGGCTGCCTCTCCTCTCGCGCGCACGCCTCGGCGACAATCTCCCCTCCACCTCGGCTCCACCTCGGCTCCATCTCGGCTCCATCTCGGCTCCAAGCAAGCGCGCCGGCGATCGACGCGGCGGGCGCGTTGATCAGGCAATTCTTGTACGTGGTGGTCGGGTACGCGTCTCGCACCTCCTTGCCCGCCGCCTTGACCATCCCCTCCCCCTTCTTGACGTCGGAGGAGCGGAACGGGTTGGGCGTGAGCGAGACGCCGGCCAGGTCGAGCACGCGGAACATGAGCACGAGCCGGTCCTACAGGGCGGCTCCGAGAAGGTTCCGAGAGGGTTCCGAGAGGGTTCCGAGAGGCCGTCTCGAAGAGGAGCCGGTCCTACAGGGTCGTTTCCGGGAACTAGCTCGAGGGGCGGGACCCTCACACCGAGGGGAGCCATTTGGCATCGCGTTCGTAAAGGCTCCGGAGGGTGCGTGGTGCGTGGAATCAACATGCTGGCGTGTCACATGGAGTTCAAGGAGGCGGTCCAGGACGGAGCAAGTGTTGTGGAAGTTGTATTGTGCAAGTTATCCGCCGGCGGGTGCAGTGGTAGCAGTGGTAATAGTAGCAGCAGCGGCCGCAGCATTCACCTACCGACAGCGTGTCGCGGACAGGTCACGCACGTGCCCTGCACATGCGGTGCGGCGGCGGCACGAGCCGGTCCTGCCGCGTCGAGAGCTCGTCGAGGACCAGCTGAAGCAGCTCCTAGAAGGTTCCGAGAAGGTTCCGAGAAGGTTCCGAGAAGGTTCCGAGAGCTCGTCGAGGACCAGCTGAAGAGCTCCTGCGAGAGGTCGAGGCGAGAGAGGTGAGGAGAGGGCAGACGCGATCCGGGCCCGCGGCTGTGAGTCTGCGTGAGCGGCAGCCTCGCCTCCTCCTCTCCTCTCCTCTCCTCTCCTCGCCTCGCCTCGCCTCGCCTCGCCTCGCCTCTCGTCTCCACTCCACTCCTCTCGTCTCGTCTCCTCTCACCTGCGTCCGCAGCTCCGACGCGAGGAAAGCGTCGGCGCCGAGCGCGCAGACCGCCGCCGCGTCGGCCGACGCCGGCACCTCGATGAAGAGCAGGTTGCCGGCGCGGTCGAGGAGCAGCTCGCCCCCGCCGCCCGCCGACTTGGTGAAGAAGGTGCGCGGCCGCGCCGCAAAGACGGCCGCGTCTTGCTCGTTCAGCAGCGGCTTCTCGAGCGATGTCGCGCGGGCGGTGAAGAAGGAGGGGTTGGCGGCGCGCAGGTCCGCCCTCGTCGCGTCCGTGCCGTTCCGCTTCCTCCACCGCAGCGCCTCGACGTACATGCTCGCCGCATCACCGCCCTTGAAGGCTGTCGCGACGAGGAAGCGCCAGAGCCTACGTGGCGGCTGCGCCAAACCTCGGGGGAGGGAGGGCGGGCATGTGCAGAGTGTGTGGAGCACCGCGCGAGTACGCCGGGAGGAGAGCACAGTGAACCGGACTACGGTCGGATACAGTGAATCCGTGCCCTCTCGAGCGCTGGCTGGAGCACAACGATCCCGCGTTCCGCTTCTAGGCGCCAGAGCCGGAGGTCGGACGCCATCTCGACTGTTGGCGCGAGAGAGGGGTCGGCGATGACGGCCGCATCGCGTCGCGAGCGCATGTACGCCAGCGCCCTCTCGTGCAGCTCCGAGCCGCACCACTCGGACGGAGCGAGCGGAGTGCGCAGAACCTCGACCTCTGCGTCGGTGAAGGCCGGCTCGGCGACGGGCTTGGCCGGCGCCGCGACCGGCGCCGGCGCCACAGCGGGAGGCGAAGGAGCGGGTGCGGACGCGGCAGCGGGCGGCGGCGGATGGGGGGGCTGCGGAGGCGGCTGTGGAGCGTTCGCAGGCGCGGCTGCCGCGGGAGCTGCAGCCATCTTCTCGGCGCTTTGCTTGGCGCTCGCCGCTCGCAGCCGCAGCACCTCTTCGTAGGTCGGCCGCGGGCTCATCGGCTGTGGGGTTAGGCTGGCCATTGTGGCAGGAGGAAGAGGCGCCTCAAGACACAGGCGTGCCAAGGTGCCGCCCTCTTCGGCTTTTTTCTTTTTGAGAGCGCCTTCGGTGGCATACAACTGGTGTCCAGTCCGAGCCTGGCTGTTCTTCACCTTTCTACCTACCTACCTACAACAGTGACCAGAGACACCTCACTAGACCCCACACACGGTCTCGTCCGTGCCTCGCCGGCCGGAGAGATTGCTAGAGGTGGAGCAAGCTGCTCTAGCCTCGCATGTTACTCCTGTCGTCTGTTGTGATGTTGTGCCCTTGTTTGTTTCTCTTGGCACCTTGGAGTGCTGGGGGGGGCGACAGGAAGAATGTGGCCTTGAGTTATGTGTACGCCAACTCAGGGTGTGTGGCAGCCAGCTGGCTGAGAGAGAGAGAGAGAGAGATGTTTTGCTGGCTGTGTGTCTTGTGAGCTTGTTTGGGAGAGATTTTTAGCAATACCAAACAACTCTAACACTCACACGTAATTTGGGGCCTGGAGCCCTGTTCACGCGCGCGCGATTGTTTGTTCTTGTTTGTGTCGCAGTATCTATTTGGAGAAAGCGGGTAACGGCCAGGCAACGGCGCGGAACCAAGCTACGCATGCCGGCGAGGCCGATTTTCTTAACGGTCTTAAAAGAGGGACCCGCCGTGCCTGCAATCTCTTAACTGACAATTTGAGCCCCCAAACCTCCTCATTTCTTAAAAGGTCTTAAAACAATCCGGCCCTCAGAACCCTAGGCGCTACTCTAGGGGTACCCTAAGCGCTCTAAGGCGTACTCTAAGGCGTAAGGGTACTAGTAAGGGGAGAGGCCACCTGTTCCGCGGAACGCGAGCACGGACGAGTTTGTCCTATGTTCGACATTAAATAACGGAAGCTTTGAGATATGAGAATCGGGTTGCTGTGCTGCTTGAGAATCGAACGAAGGGGAATCTTGCCCAGTTGGAATCTCACGTGCTTCCTCCAGCAGCCTCCAGCTCTCCTCCACTCTGCGGGTAGGTAGACAGGTGAAAGAAAGCCTCCGCCGCCTCCGCCGCAACAACACGTTTCGACGCCTCTGCCAGAGCGTGGTCTAACTTGGCCAGCACCGCCTCAAACATTTGCGCCGCCACCAGCGAGACCGGAGCCGCAGCCGCAGCCAGCGCGCCGCCGCGCCGCGCCCCGTCTGCCGCAAGGCCTTCCTTGGCCATTCGGCTGACGAGCAGCGCGCGCAAAGCATTGCAATCGTCGAGCGCATCGCGGGATGTCGCCGCCACCGCGCGAGCCTCGAGCGCCCCTGCTGCCTTCACCATCTTCGCCTGTTTGTTCCCGCGATCGTCGATCCCCAGGGTTGAGTAGAGGGACTGAAAGCCCCGGTGCTGGGTGAAGAAGCGCGACTCTTCGATCTGCAAGGGCCAGCCCTCGATCGTGAAGACATGCGGAGTCAGCTTGTACTGGTTAAGGGCGAGCTGCGCTGCACCCTCCGTGTGGAAAGACACGTTGGCGTTGCCTGTGGGGGCAGGATGGAGGGTGAGAGCAGGGATGACATCGGTGACAGTGCTGCGATGGTTGCCGTTCTTCCGAATTTTGACGTACACGACCTCCCCGAACTGAGAGAAGAAGGAGCGCAGCTTGCTCGCTTTGTGGATTGACGAGTGCACCTGCGCGTATAGTGGCAGAGTCTCAGCAATTTATGCTATGTCAGTGGCGATGGAAGTTCGCACCGAACGAACAAAGACGCCCCTCGATTTGTCGACGCCGTCGCCGCTGTCGCTGCAGGACGAGCTCATGATGTGTCTCTCCCTGGACCGAGTGACTCCGAGAAGTCAATGCGCGATATCAACTTTGAGAAGAATTCTAACTAATGGGTCTGCGATGCTTGCCTTGAGGGCTATTTGGGGGGGGGCTTTGGCGACTACTCGGAGCTGCGCAGCGGCTACGTTGCGCCGTATCCGAGTAGCCCCTGGATAGGTCGCTCGCGCGACCTCTCCTGGATGCGCAAGGGGCCCATTGGGGTCACGCGGAGGGAGGCGCTGTTAGCGGCGGAGGAGGCGAAGGCGGCCGCGCGGGCGGCGGAGAAGGCGCGGGCGGCGGAGGGGGGGAAGGGCGGCGGCAGCGGGCGGCAGTCCCGCGAGGCACGCCGGCGGAAGGGTTCGTCTTCGCGGCTGCGCCTGGGGAACCCTATTTGGGTTTTGGCGTCTGCCACACGGATGTGAGCAGCTCATCCCGAGCCCGCTTTTGATTGATTGCCGCTGTCCGCCCGACTCGCCAAGTACACAAAAACTCGACCGGAATACTCGTAGCGCCTGTCCGCCCATCCCCATGCCGCATGGGCCCCATGGCCCATGCGCCATGGGCATGGCACATCCGAACCGGAAACTCGTGCGCCTGGGCGTCGACGTAGCAGTAGGGGCTTGTAGCTAGGGATTCGCCTGGCGAGGTACTTCAAGCCTGCTGTGGGAACAGCTGACGCAGTCTCGCCAAGTGAGTGAGTGAATATTCTTGATACGAAACCACGACGACACACACCAGTCGACTCGCATCGGTTGCCTCCATGAACGGCGGAGCTATTCTCGCGTCCACACCACACTCACACTCACTCTCGCCAAGGCTTGCCCCAGCTCCCGGGTTCCCTCGCTCGCGATTATACCCCGTGCGCCGCCAGATCGGCATTCGCGCAGCCGAACCGTGGCCCCTAAAAGAGCGTGCCCCCGCAATTGGGGGGCCCCGCAATTAGAAAGAGACAGATGGCCGCGCCCGAGTTTGGCGAGTTCACTGACGAGCAGTGCGTCGCCTTCTTCACCCGAAAGCTGGATCAGCTCGCTGAATCGCACCCACACCTCCAGCGGGATGAGCTGCTGGCGGCGCACCCGCTTGTGCGCTGCATGTTGCAGGGCACCAAGCCATCGCTTACGCTTGGCAGTCTGGCGCCAGATGGGCCCGTGTGCACGCTGGACGGCGTCGAGACGACACTCCATGGTGCTGTGCGCGCCGGATCTGGCCCTCGTAAGCTCACGGTCCTCAATTTTGGCTCGTACACCTGACCGCCCTATGTCTCAAAGGGTCCCGCTCTGGTCACCTCGATGCGTCCGTATCTTGATGCCGGCAGCCTGTCGCTCTTCCTGGTCTACATTCGAGAGGCCCACCCGGAGGGCGGCTGGGCGATTCCCGCGGCTGACGGCATCTGCTACCGGCAGCCCAAGACGCTCGCCTCGCGGCTCGCCGTCGCCGCGAAGTTTGCCGAGCACCAGGCGGAGTGGTGTGCGGGCGTGCCGATGTTGGTCGACGACCCGACGACCAACGCGCTCGACATTGCGTACGAGGCGCCACCGGAGCGGCTTGTCGTGCTCGATGAGCAGCTGAACGTCGTCTTCTTTTCGGGGCAGGGGCCGTTCCAGTACTCGGTGCCCAAGCTCGCGGCGTTTGTCAAAGCGCAGCTCGGCGAGTAGCTGTGGGAGAGCTTCGTGGCCGTCGTGTGTCGATCAGGCGAGAGGGTTCGAGGCGTGCGCACACACAGTCACACCCAGAAGCCATTTCGCGCGCTCATCCTTCACTTGCCCGCTGCTGCTGCTGTGACGCCGCGCCCTTCAACGTTTATCTCAAACGCTGGGCAGCAGCTGATTACCGGACCGCAGTAGGAGAGTGGAATAAGGCGATAAGCGAACGGGGAAGTGTCGGACGCCGCGAGCGGCGAGACGGTCGCGCGCGGGGCCGCACCAACACACGAGCCCTGTAGGCCGGTATCTGGATAGTGGAGGGTGTGTGTGTGACTGCGACAAGGGACCATCCGTTTGTATTATCAACAACCATGACAACGAAGAGAGACACCACTCGCACGCCGATAATGGTGTCAGCAGCTCTCATCACGAGCCCTCGCGCAGGACACGTCGTGTGTGCGACCTCTCGCGCTCGCGGCCCGATCTAACATGTACAACAATCCTTACGACAATCCTTACGCATGGGCCGAGAGTACATCATCGAGCCCAACGTGCGCCGACCGCTCGCCGACTAAGTTGGCGCATCAGAGGCGTCTGCGCACCACGGCCTAGGAATTCTACCAACCCATAATAAATAAATAAATAAAACGGACACTACCAACCCACGCCCCGCAGTTTCAGAATTCTTTAAAAAGAAAGAAAGAAAACAGACAAGCCAAAGCGGGGGCATTCTTCGCGTTGTCCTGCGCCGAGCCGCCTCTTTCCTGCCATGTACAAGCTGCGCTCTCGCGTGTTCTCCGTGTCCCTCCTCCTCTCCTCCAACAGCGTCGCTCAAGGCTACTCGCTCGGCGGCAGCCTGCCTCACCGCTTCTCGCGAGGCGTCGCGCTCCGTGGCGGCGCCTCGCCTCGAGCCGCCGCCGCCGGCGCCCAGGAGGCGGCGACGGCGGTGCCGCTGACCTCGGCCTCTCTCGTGGCCTCCGACGCGGCCGCATCGGACTGGACGGGAGACATGATGGTCGTTCCGGTCTGGGAGGCCAAGGAGGGCGAGAGCATCGCCCTCGGAGCCGAGGCGGCGGCGCTGGATGCGGCGCTCTCCGGCGCGGTCGCCGACCTCATCGCTGACAGCGAGTTCAAGGGCAAGGCCGGCTCGTCGGCCGTGGTCTCGCTGCCTCGCGGCGGGAACGTGCGCAAGGTGGCGGTGGTCGGGATGGGCCTCTCGACCGACTTCAAGATCTCCGGCGCCCGGAAATTCGGAGCTACGCTGGCGACACTCGCAACCGAGCAGAAGCCCAAGCAGGCGGCGGCGCTGCTTCCGACCGGCCCGGCGCTCGCGGCGGACACACAGCAGGCCGCCTTCGAGGCCGCCATGCTTGGGCTCTCGCCAGACACGCGCTACAAGTCGGACGCCGACAGCGACGAGAACAAGCCGCCGCCGCTGCAGGCGCTCGCGCTGCTCGGCGCCGACGCGGGCGCGCTCGCGCGCGCGCGGTCCTTCTCGGCGGGCGTGCTGCTGACGCGCGGGCTGGTGGCGTCGCCCGCCAACTACGCGACGCCCACCTCGCTCGCGGCGTGCGCCAAGGAGATCGCCGACCGCTTCGAGGGCATGACCCTGACGGTGCTCGAGCGGGCAGAGTGCGAGGCGCGCGGCATGGGCGCGTACCTCGGCGTCTCGCAGGGCGCGGTCGAGCCGCCCAAGTTCATCCACCTGTGCCTGAGCGCGCCGGGCGGCGGCAAGCCGGCGAAGAAGATTGCCTACGTGGGCAAGGGGCTCACCTTCGACTCGGGCGGCTACAACATCAAGGCGGGCGCACACGCACACACACATGCACACACACATGCACACACACACGCACACACGCACACACACACACGCACACACACATGCATACACACACGCGCACACACATGCACACGCACATGCACACGCACACACACACACGCACACACACATGCATACACACACGCGCACACACATGCACACGCACATGCACATGCACACACACACACACACGCACACGCACACACACATGCATACACACACGCACACACACATGCACACACACATGCACACACACACATCAAGGCGGGGCCGTGAGTGGGGCTCCCCACCGCTGCCCCTCTGACGATTGCACCTATGTCTGCGGTGACGCCTCTCCCTGAGAACGCACACACCGCCTCGTGTGCAATGCCCCCGTGTGTGCTCCGCGAGTGCGCGTGTGCCCCGTCGTCCGTGCTGACGCGTGTCACACGCACACACACTGGCCTGACTGGCTGACAACATCAAGGCGGGCGGCGGCTCGATGATCGAGAACCCCAGCCCCACGGTACCCGAACCCAGGCCATACCCCCACGGTACCCGAACCACTAGGCGGGCGCCGGCTCGATGATCGAGAAGATGAAGTTCGACATGGGCGGCGCGGGCGCGGTGCTCGGCGCGGCGCGCACGCTCGCGGAGGTGCGGCCGGCCGGCGTCGAGGTCCACTTCATCGTCGCGTCCTGTGAGAACATGGTGAGCGCCGAGGCGATGCGGCCGGGCGCGACGCTTGCGAGACCCCTCGTGTCCCCTCGTGTCGCGAGGCATGCAATCCACTACACCGGGGCCCCCTCTGATTCATTAGGCGACATCCTGACCGCCTCGAACAAGAAGACGATCGAGGTGCTCAACACGGACGCGGAGGGCCGGCTCACGCTCGCCGACGCGCTCGTGTACGCCGAGGCCCTCGGCGAGGTCGACACGATCGTCGACGTCGCCACCCTCACCGGCGCGTGCATTGTGGCGCTCGGCCCCGACTATGCGGGCATGTGGTCGTCCGACGAGGCGCTCAGCAAGGCGCGATCTCGCCCCCCTCTCGCCCGCTCTCGCCTGGTCCCCGCCTATCTCTCGCGTGGCTGTCTCTTTGCCTCGCCTGACCTCGCCTGATCTCGCCTGACTTCGCCTGATCTCGCCTGACCCCCGCCCGTGCTCTCCGCCAGGCGCTGCTCGACGCGGCGGCGTCGCACGGCGAGCTGCTCTGGCAGATGCCGCTCGCGCCCGAGTACCGCGAGCAGATCAACAGCAAGATCGCCGACCTTGCGAACCTCGGCGCGCCGGGCGGCGGCGGCTCGATCACCGCCGCGCTCTTCCTGAACGAGTTTGTCAAGGAGTCGGCGTGGGCGCACCTCGACATCGCCGGCCCCGTCTGGAACGACAAGGCGGGCGGCGCCACCGGCTACGGCGTGCGCACGCTCGCCGCGTATGCCGAGGCGGTGGCCGCGTGAGGCGTGTGCGAGCGCACTCGCTTGACGCTCACGTGTGGACAGCAGTTGCACTCCGCACACGGCGCGGTGATGCCTCTGCAAAAGACCTCTTTTCTTCCCAACTGGTGGATCGAAAAAGGGTCATGAATCCCTCTCCCAGACTCTCAGTCGGCAGAGCCAAACGCCCAGACGCAGACCCCCGAGACCGCGCGCAGAGGCACGTGCGAAAAAATCGAGCGCCGTTCGGTACGCCTCACACGTCCGACTATGGAGGACCCGTCACCAGACGACGCAGGGCAGAAGACGGTGAGGCGGCCTCGCAGTGGGTTCGAACCGACGACCTCACAGTGTAGCTTTCGGGGGTGGGATTTTCCGGTTAAGAAACGGTCCGCTCCCCAGTGTGGCAGTCGCCCCTCGCCTCTTCGCTTCTGCCGCCGCGTGCGCGCCCAAGGGGTTGCGAGGGGCCAATCCGCGCTAGGGGATTGCAGGTCTGCCATCACTCCGGCCTCGCAAACCGATCCGGAGCCTCGAGGCGCCTTCCGGACGGAGCCACCACGGCTCGAGGCCCTCTAAAACTGGCGCCAGATTGCCACGCGCGGCTAAAATCAGGTGCGCGTCGCACACCCCTATCTTCGTGCTCGCGGTAGCCGTTCGCACCCAATCAACAATATATCCCGCGGTAAGAACTCACCTCGCCCCACAGACCCACTAATCACCCACCCAGCGGCCCGCATCTCGCCCCAAAGCCGCTTACGTGCATGTACTGCCCCCTCCCCTCGCACCCAGAGTTTTAGTCGGCGTTGGCTGTAGCCGTGGTCGAGATGATCACAGTGGACACGGAAGAGCACCTTTCCGGCGGAGAGGCGCGCTGTCTGACCCCGAGCCACAGCTCTCCCGCGCTTTGCGCGAGGCCACTGGTTGGTGCGGGTGGTGGTACCCAGTCCGTGTGTCGTCGCGTGGTGTGCGGCGACGGCCAACCGTGAGAGTACACGGGCGCCGTGGTAGACGCCGACTTGTACAGTGTTATAAAGGCGATCTCCGTTTGAGCGAGGGACACTTCTGTCGCGCTTACAAAACACTGGGGGAGCGCGCACACACACAGAGTCCACACAGAGGAGAGGAGCGCGCGCGTACAGAGTCAGAATCATCCTCTGGGCAGGTGGGAGCCGAGTAGAGGTTGGCCGAGATCAGGCGAGGCGAGGCGAGATTAGCCTAGAAGGTCGGACGAGGCCGGGGCAGCCGAGATTGGGTAGATCACATTGCACGAGATTCGATTACAGTCTGATACAACCCAATGGACTGATCGCCTTGCTCCGGAGCCGATTAAATGTTGGCGTGCGGGTTCGCCTCGCACCAGGCGCAGCCGCACCGGAACGGCGCGCTCGGCATGCGCAGGTGCAGCAGCGCATGTCGAAAGCGCGTGTCGCATGGGTAGAGCACGCTCCGGGGGTGAATGGCCCTGCGCTCGTCAATCCAGGCCTGCCGCTCGCCTGGGCTTTCGGGCGAGGCCGGGCCTCTCTGGTCCTCGTCGGCTAATTGGGTAGAGCCGCTGTAGTGCCGCCGAAGTGTAGCTTCCGAGCGGTTGTCCTCGTCGATCTCGAGCGACGCAAGGTCAAGGGGCTGGGCTTGCCCCAGACCGATCCAGCCCTGTGGCGTGGCCGTCGTGCTCTCGCCATCGGCTCCGAAGCTCGAGCGCCTGCTCGACCCCGAGGCCACCTCGGAGACGTACGAGCCCTGAGTGGAGTCGCCATGTGACTCAGCTCCCAGGTCCGAACCATAGTTCGGCACGAGCTCTGACATGGACAGGTGATCCGCCGCTGACGGGCTGTCCGCTGCTGATAGGTTGTCCGCCGACGATAGGCTGTCCGCCGACGACAGCCTGTCCGCCGCTGACAGGCTGCGTCCACCGCGCCAGACGTGACTCTCCACGGTCATGCTCGCATCGCCTTCCTCGGCCGCGTCGGCCATCGCGACCCTCCCTCGACGGCGCACAAATGGGCGCGTGCGGTTCCTCGTGCAACGGCAGCGGCCACTCTGAAGAAACGCAGAGACCGAAAGGAAGCTTGGAGGTGGAAGATCCCGTGTTGGCAGCATTGATGAAGTTTGACGTGAACGGCGACGGGCTGACCAAGGAGGAGTTCAAGCAAGCATTGCGCGCATTCAGATTCTCGATGTCTTCCCAAAAGTGTAGAGCAATCCGCGAGAGGACATTCGCAGATTGCGATGCAGATGGTAATGGCAGGCTCAGCGTGAAGGAGCTTGCAAGTGGCATGCCAGTCACGCTTCGCAACAAAATCCAGAAAAGGCTTGACGAAGGGTGGGCCTTCGATCCGTCCAAGTGGGAATAGAAGGACTTTCCGCCGCTGGCCCAAAGGCGCGTGGGGGCGTTGGGGGAAGGGAGGACACTTCGCAGACTGATCTACTCAGGCGGGGTGAAATGGGGCACGTGGCGCTCGGTCACGGCTGCGCGGCTGGATGTGCCCGTATGTATCCCCTCCCGCACGCACGTCGCACGGGCCGTGTCACAGGGTGGCGCTCGTGCGTCCCAGGTGTCGTGTGCCTCTGTGTGGCGTATCAATTTAGTGTCATCAGGCATGTCATCACGAAAAAAGCGGCGCGTATACTCGGGGTGGGTGTCGTACTAGCTACTACTGACCTGGGGAAGGGGCACTCCTCGCTCCAGAAGCAGCACCAGCTCCACGTGCGGGGTGTGTGGGAACATGTCGATCGGGATCGCCCTCTGCAGCGCAAAGGGTGCGCCGCGGCCGCGGCTGCCGCAGAGCACGCGCAAATTCGCCGCGAGCGACCCGCCCTTGACGACGTAGTCGCGCCGCAGCGTGAACCCGTGCGGGTTGCAGGACACAATCACGACGCGCCGCACCGAGGCCGCCTGCCGCACAGACTTGCACACGGCCTATGGGGGCAGGTTCCTGGAATTCCTAGCCCGAGCTCCCAGCAGTCGAGCACAGTCGACAGACGAGGAGGTCTAGGGGTTAGGGTTAGGGCTAGGGCTAGGGCTAGGCTTAGGGTTAGTGTTAGTGTTAGGGTTGGGGTTAGGGCTAGCGTTAGGGTTAGGCTTAGGGTTAGGGTTAGGCTTAGGTGCCGGTGCGAGGCCGGTCCGTGGAGGGTCGAGCACGGCTGCCGCCCACGCCGCCCCCTCCTCGCCCGCCGCCGCGCCCGCCGCGCCCCCGAGTGCCGCGGCGATGCCGTCCTCCGCCTTGACGCACCGCGCCTCGTACAAGCCCTGCAGCCCGTTCGCCGCAGCGTTCCGCCGCGCGTCAGCGACACCCTCGCCGCTAACCTCCAAACCGACCACCCGCGTTGAAGCGCCCGCCGCGACCGCAGCACGGGCCACGTCGAGGCCGATCGCGCCGCCGCCGCAGCAGATGTCGAGCAGCAAGGGCGGGAAGCAGCGCCCGCCGTCCGACACGAGCGACCGGACCGTCTCCAGCAGCAGGTCCGCCTACAACGAATTGAGAGCTACGCATGAGTCATTCATTCATTCATTCGGAGGGCCGTCTCGAGTAGCAAGTCCGCCGCGGCCGTGCAGGTCTGGAAAAAGGCGAGCGGCGCTATCGACAGCCGCAAGCCGCTCCCCATCTCTTCGGTAATGCTGCCATCATGGCCCCGCAGCTCCGCCTCTCCCTCGCCGCCGCCGCTGCCCGCCGCGTCGACGAGCAGCAAGCCGCCGGCACTCCGCACCAGGACCGACAACCTCTGTCCGTGAGCTGCGGCAGCCCGCGCCATCCGCGCGGCGAGCGCGGCGGTCGCGGCGGTCGTGGCAGGCGACAAGCCAGGGGAGTCGCCGCCGCCTCCGCCCACGCCGCCGCCTCCGCCCACGCCGCCGCCTCCGCCCACGCCGCCGCCTCCGCCCACGCCGCCGCCGCCCTCGCTATCGCCGTCGCCGCCAGAGCCCAAGCGCGTCGGGGTGAGGACGGCGACGGACTGGCGCGTGCGGAGGCTGCCGCGCAGCCGCAGCAGCGCAAACGGGAGCGAGGGCGGTGTACCGTCGCTTTGCACCGCCAATCCGGCCTCCCACTCCCGCATCGCGGCGCCGACCTCCGCGGCCACCGCCGCCATCCAGGCCGGCACAAACGGGACGCCGCCAACCTGATAAGCGATGAAGGAGCGATGAATGATTCTCGACTCAGTTCTCGGACAGGCACACAGAGGGGGGGGCAAAGGTGTGGCAGACGAACAGCGCTGCTGCTCCGGCGCGGGTCGCTTTGGAGTTAAGTTTGGTGTGGTGGCAGCGGTATGCGCGGACCGAGTGCCTTACACACTCCACGGCCGGATCTTGGAGGGAAGGCTGTCCTACGACTACTACTACGCGCGCGCGCGACGCCGCCCGCCTCGCCGATGGCGAGGCCGTCGCGGCTCGCCCCCACCCCCAGCCGGAAGCCGCAGCACACGCCCCCCGCCCGCGCTCGCCCGAGGTGCATCTCGCACGTGTTGCGCTCGCCGCCGCCGCCGCAGAAGCGCAACGGCTCGACGGCGCCGGCCGGCGGCGGCGGCGAGCTGCCTGCGTGCACGCCGGCCGACCTCAGCCGCGCCACGAGGCGCTCCATCTCGGCCTATTAGCCACTCGTTACTCATGAGCTCATCACGGGTGAAGCGGCGCGCCACGAGGCGCTCCCTCTCGGCCTGCTTGCGAGCGCGCTGCCCCTCGAGCGGCATCTCCCACAGCGGAGCAACCACGTCCCGCGCGTCGCGCGGCAGCTCGAGGCCGAGCTCGCTCAGGCGGGCCGCGAGGTGGCTGGAGAGGAGGGGCGGCGCTACCTCGGAGGCGGCGGAGGCGGAGGCGGAGGAGGCGGAGGCGGAGGCGGAGGCGGCGGAGGCGGCGGAGGCAGAGGCGGCGGAGGCGGAGGTGATGGCGGAGGTGGCGGTGGCGGAGGTGGCGGTGGCAGAGGCGGAAGTGGCGGAGGTGGCGGAGGTGGCGGAGGTGGCGGTGGCAGAGGAGGCGGTGGCGGTGGTGCGAGTCGGAGGCCGCTGGTCGAGCGGCGAGCGGTTGAGGCGCAGGCCGAGCCAGAAGCGGTTGCAGTGCACCTGCGCCAGCACATCGAGCGGCGCGGCGCACTTGTCACTAGAGCCTTGCAGCCCCGTCGCCTCGGTCAGGCCCGCCTTCGCAGCTCTCTTCGCTTCGTCGCTCGTGAAGCTGTGGCCCCGCCCGCCGCGCTTGCCGATGGCGCGGAAGACCAAGCTCGCCGCCGGAGTGCTCGCCGCCTCCTCCCGGCCCTCGAGCCGCGCGACGGCCCGCCAGACAGCCAGCGCCGCGCCAAACACGCCTGCGTCGACGGCGGCGGCCGCGGCCCGGATCGCCGCCGGGCCGTCGGCCTCGCCCAAGGAGGCGCTCGCGAGCAGCACGTGCACGTAGCCGAGCGTAGACAGCTTGCAGAGGCGTGCAGCGAGGGTGTCGGCGTCAAGCGTGCTCTGTGGACTGAAGAGGACCTGGCCCTGCAGCGTCTTGAGCGCACGGCAGAGCGGCACCGTGGCCTGGACGTCGGAAGCGGCGTCCGACGGCCGCGCAGCGGTGCTGGCGAAGTAGACGAGCGGCGTCGAGGCGACGGCAGGCAGCACGCGGGGCATGTGTGTGTCTGGTCTCTGGTTGTCCGTAGATAGCTCTGGTTGCACGACCAGAGGTCTTCTCGTCTCTTTCTCCGAGACCTCGCGAGCCGGGAAGTTATTCACACCTGGGCAGGGCAGTGTGGTTTGGGCAGGCAGTGTGGGTTTCACGCCCGGGGCAGGTAGGGGATCGGCGCGGCAGGGTTCCGGCTCCTAGCCGGATAGGGGTCTGTTGGGACTGGCTGGCCCCTCCCAGATAGGTAGGTAGGTTGGTCTTGTTTGGCCCAAAAGGGCCCTGCAATAGGTAGGTACCCCCTATTTTCATCTTTTTTCGCTTCGCTGCGCGGCCTGGGGATAGGTAGGTAGGTAGGGCGTTTTGGCGCGAGTCAGTCCGAACAGACCCCCTATCCGGCTAGGAGCCG